TCCAGTAAATTGTTCTTATCTCGGCCTGTGATCTTGACCTTTTGTGCTTCCAACTCTCCTCTGCAGCATGTCTTGGGTTGACTGACAAGTTAAGAAGAGTGAAAAGAGAAAAAAGTTTTGTAAGTTACAGGACACTAAGATTCAACTTAACTCATTGAGGTTTTTGTGCTGCGTTAAAATAGAAAATGCTTCAAATCCTCTTTTCAGTGTTATTTTCGTCTTGAAAACTCTCAACTGTATTCTACAACTCAACTAATTTATACAACATTCAACATTATTTAACAAATAAAGCACTCAGGCTCAGGGGGGAGAGGGAAAAGAAAAGGTGATACGGGGGGATAGAGAGAGAGAGAGAGAGAGAGAGAGAGGCAGTGTGGTTTGGGAAGTATCAGTGGGGTCACTGAGTTAGGAAGTAATGTTCCTAAAAAACAACTGTTTTTTAGAAAAAAACACTGTTTAGGAAGAGCCAAAATCAAGAGTATTATGTTACCAAGATTATTCTTGCACTTAATACAAAACACAGCACCATATCAACTACTAAGAAGATGAACTCTATTGCAGTCAAAACCAGAACACCATGTAACCATATCTTCCAAATTCTTAAGATTTTACCCTAACTTTACTCCCAGACAATGACCCTTTTAACAGAGACAAGGTTTATAGTCACTTATTGAAATACTGATTGGTTTTCCAAATCTTTACATCACACTTTTACCACAGCTAATTATTCATTAAGGTTTTCTATGCTGTTGGCAATTTTGAACTGTACACATGGCAATTTTTTAAAACTGTGTGACATCCCTGACTGAGGGTGAAGGATTTTAGCAAAAGAAACTCACAGGACAAATGCATCTGACATAGATAACACTTTTTAAAAAATAATTTAAAATATAAATGTCTTAGTATTATGCAGAGAGGTATCTACACAAAAGACACTTCAACTACTACTTAAATAGGTTTTCTTATTTTACTCTGTTTGCCAGTCATTTATCAGAAAACACCTGTTGAGTACTATGGCCACTGATGCCTCTGAGTTACATCTAACTAAGCCAACAGAAGTCAACATACTTTTACTTCGGAAGGTTACTTTATAAAATAATCACCTACCATTGCTCTAAAACAATTTTCATATCACAAAATGAGGGGAAAAAAAACCCAGGTTAATAAATAAGTATAATGAGAGTATATCATGACACAGACTCCATATCCATAAAAAAATCACAGAGATGTGTTACAATGCACTGAAACACCAGACGATGGAAAACCTAACACTAAATGCTTAGTGTATTCAAGTGCCTTGAGACACCTGAGAAAGAACAGAAACCTGAATCACAATCCTGGAAACAAAAAACAGACTGGATTCCATTATATAGTTTCAACCTATTTGGTTTACAGCATTCAGTAATCCCTGGATTACAGAAAACCAGTGAAACAGAATGGGATCATGTTAAAAGAATTGTTCCTATAAAGTAGTTTCTTAAAAGGGAAAACATTACATAAAATACTAAAAGCATATGCAAACCAGGAAAGATGCTCCACTACCAAACTGTCCAAAGCTTTAACAACTTAACATTTACACCTGTATGATCTGTATGAGGCAGAACACTACCAGTTTGGGATTATGAGATCCAGGCACAAAAATAAAATCCTGGATTTATGGATTTAAATTTTCAACCATAAACAGTACTGTAATTGCAATCAAAAATTTAGAAGCTCTCCACTTGACAAAAATCAGTAGTCTCAACACAATGGATACATGTAAACTTAAAGTTAAGCAACTCAGGGATTTTTATCTGTAGTTTAGTCTAGTGCAGAAAGCACATTTGTGTTCACCTACTTTAGAAAACACACTAGAAACTGTCAAATATACTGTTACTGAAAACTGTATTCCACACTGAAGAGATATTGTATTTAAAGGCTGAAGCTAAACAAAAAGAGGTGAAAAAAACCCAAATCCTGCAAAAGGATCTAATCTGTTTTCCATGTAGCTAAAATCAATTTCACTAACTCTTCCTGAAGGGCATTGCTCTGAAATTTTCATATAATCAAAGGACTGGCAATCATTCTCTGCAACAACTGTAAGCTTCTGAAATTATTAGCACAGATTACTGTATCCACTTGTTGGCCCAGAAGTTAATAACATACAGCTAGACACATTACTCTGTCTCAGAGTTGGAATGCTCACAGAATGGACAACTCAGTATCTTTCAGTGTGCTACACACACACAGACAGTAATTCTGGACCAGTTATAATAAACCCACAAATACAGCATATCTCAACACTAGGCACTAAAACAGCATCAAGAAGCATCAGCAAGCTTTAACTCTTCTGAAACTCCCTTATTCTAAATGATGAAGGTAAAAAAGCTAGTTTTCCATGTAACCGGTGTCAACACCTCAATACTCAAACAATTCAAGTCACCCACTAAGACTTGAGTCGCTCCTAAAATGAGTACACTTTTTCTTTGTATACAGGCATTACCAAACACATTAAGACAACTCTGCTAAGCAAGAAATTGCAAAGACTGTACTGTCATGAACTCAGAAAATAAACTGAAGGAAGAAAACACAAGACAAGAGACAAACCATTTTAGTGAGCCGGAGTATCAGCACTGTCAGGGTCAGCTAGTCAACATATTTTACCCATCATGTATTCATTAAGTCTCTGCTCTGAGAAAGATCAGTATCATACCCAGTCAAGAATGCAAACATTTGGTCCTTCTCCTAATACTGAGCCAACCTGTACTAAGCACAATCAAATAAATTTCAAAGAAAAGACAGACAGACACCAATGTAAATCAACTGATCTTCCAGAGTAGCTTTGTACTTAGTTTGTTTTCCATACCAACCTGTATACTCACTGTTCTAGCTGCACGACACAGGATCACAGTAACAAATCTATTCTACTGAAGTCTTCCAATACAGGAAAAAATCTTGACAGAAAAGTTGCAGACATGGTTTACATTAATGGGGCAACATAAAATTTAATTTTTTTTACCCTTAAATTTGGCCCTGATGACACAAAATATTTTCCTAGAAAATCTGGGGTTTATGTTCTAGCAGTATTCTGAAATGACCATAAAGAAATAAACAACTCAATTCTTTAAGTTCTAATGTTAGCTATAGAAATATACTGAGGGAGTTATTTTTGCTGGGGGGTTTTTTTGGGTTTTTTTTCAGCCAACAAGTTATTGGCCCATCTATCTCAACTGTACAAAACACTTGCTGATAACAGACGCATTTGAACAGATGTGCAACTTGCCTGGTATTTGAGATTAACCTATTTTCAAGGCCAGTTCTAGAAACATTGCATCTACTGTTGATGCTTATTACTATCAACAGCTCGCTTTTGCAGTTAAAGAGAAAAGCCAATATTAGTCACACTACAGGGACAGCGCATTTTTAGTGCTGTTACACTGCCTGGGACTTCAATCCAATGGTCAACCCAGCAGGGCAATCTTACTTCACAAGAACCAATTTATAACTGCAGATCTAATATTTTAACAACAGTTCCAACAGAGACAACACTCACAGTTTAAGATATCTGTAGACAACAAAGACATCTGAAGCAGTGTCCTATGTTAATTCCTTAAACTTGCATAACTGCTTTCAGTAAAAATTCATGCTCTTGATAGGCTGTACAACCATTTCAGTTTATGACTACTGTTTATTTGAAAACGTGGCAGCTCCACCAGTATTCAAATAAGAAACAAACTGTTAAAAGTCAAATGTATTACAAAATTCACAGCCAGAGTAAATCTGTTTATTATTTCCAAAGGACCCAACTAACAGCTGACTGCTTTACAGGACAAGCACAATCCTCAGGTTAGATTCAGTTTATTAATCTCTTTTTTGAAATATCCTAACAAAACAAAAGCCCCAAAACTGCAAAGACTTTTACAAAAACTACATTGAAGCTGCTCACAAATCTATGGAGAACAGAGAAATGAAAAGCACCCCTTTCAGACTGAGATTGCTGGGAAAGCAGTGGACAACATTAAAAAGCAAACACAGACATTTTACTTTTGGGAGAAATGCCTAGATCAAGCTTGCAGAGAGAGTAACTCACAGCACACAACATTGCGGCTGCCAAAAGACTAGAGAAGAAAAGAAAGCGGCTTCAATGCATTGGCAGGTGGAGAAAACCACAATGAAACTCAGGTCTGGGACACTTCTAGCCCAAACACTGATGTATGAAAGGAAAAAAACAAACAAACAAACAAAAAAACCCACAAAACGAAACTGAATGTAGATTAGACTTAAGGACAAAAAAAGACTGAAAGTGAGATAACAACCACCAAAATCAGTCAGCTCAACAGGACAACTCTCAGCTAGAAAATGAGAGAAGAGAAGGCTTTGGGGTGACCTAATTGTGGCCTTCCAGTACCTGAAGGGAACTTGCAGGAAGGATGAGGCAAGACTGTTTGCAAGAACGTGTGCTGACAGGACAAAGGGCAATAGCTTCATAGTGAAAGAGAGTGGGTTTAGATTAGCAATTACGAAAAAATTCTTTTCTGTGGGGGTGGTGAGGCACTGGAACAGACTGCCCAGAGAAGCTGTGGATGGCCCATCCCTCGAAGTGTTCCAAGCCAGGTTAAACGGGGCTTTGAGCAACCTGGTCCAGCTGAAGGTGTCCCTGCCTACGACAGGGGAGCTGGAAGATTGTTGATGTGACTTCACGAATGAGCTACATGCCTCTTCCGAGCCGGCTCTCGGCAGCGCAGCAGAGAAGTCGGTGAGGAGGGTACGAGGTGGCACATTTCTTCACTACCCCCTCCCAGCAGTCCTCTCGTGGGCCGGGATCGGCGCCGGTTCTCGCCCAACAGCGCCCGGCGCGACCCGGGCGAGCCAAAGCTGCTTTGTCACCGGGCAGGGCCCTCGCCCCGCGCTGCCGGAGGCGGGAGCCGCGAGCCGGCGCTCCCCTGCCGGGCGGCGCTGCGCTCGGCCCCGGCCCCAGCGCGGCCCCGCCGGCCCCCTCAGCCCGCTCGGCCGCCCCTCACCTGCCGGATGCTGCTGGTCTCGGAAACCGCGAACTCCTCCTTCTCCTTGGGAGTCTTCACCGGAACTTTGATGATGCGCGGCTCGGAGACACCGGCGGAGTCGCGGGTGGGGGAACCGGGGGAGCCAGAGGGGCCCCCCGCGGGCCCCTCCGCTCTGTCCGACATTGCCGTGTGCGGGCGGGGCGGGTCAAGGCAAGGCAGGGCAGGGCAGGGCAGGGGGCCTGACTGCTGGCAGTCGGCTCCCGGCGGCTCCAGCCGAGCGCTCGCGCCGCGCCGCGCCCGCGACACCGGAAACGGCTCGGCCCGGCCGCCGCGCGCCGTGATGACGCAGCGCAACGGGGAAGGTACTAGAAAGGGGCACCGCCCGTGCGCGCGGCCCGCCCCGCGCGCGCCGCCGAGTGCCGAGTGTGGCGGCGGGGCCCGGGCCCGGTCCGCGTGACCCGGAGCGGAGCCTTCCCGCCGCCCGTCTGGCTTTGGGCTGTCCCGTCCCTGCCCTTCCGCCATGGCCGGCCTCCATGGACCTCCCTCTGTGAGGCACCGCTGGAGTGCCGTGTCCCGTTGTGGGCTCCTCAGTACAAGAGAGACAAGGAGCTCCTGGAGAGGGTCCAGCAGACGGTCACAAAGATAATTTGGGGTTTGAAACATCTCTTATATGAGGGGAGACTGCAGGAACTGAGCCTGTTTTGTCTGGAGAAGCCTGAGGGGATTCATCAACACATGTAAATATCCCAAAGGTGGGTGCCAAGAGGATGGTGCCAGATTCTTCCGTGACTGGATGAGCCATGGCCATAAACTAAAACACAGGAAATTCCACTTCAGCATGGGAAAGAACTTTACATTTAGGGTGTCAGCTGGAGTAGGCTGCCCAGGAAGGTCATGGGTTCTCCCTCTCTTGAGGCATTCAAAGCCTGTCTGGACATGTTCCTGTGTCACCTGCTCCAGCTGACCCTGCCTTGGCAGAGGGATGATGATTTCCAGATGTCTGTGCAGAAAGTCACCAGTTCCCCAGCTAGGGTCTGGGAGTGCAGGTGCTGGCCATGCAACTGTGGTTTGCTGGAGCTCCCGTCCATAAGACATGAGGTGTTACAGAGGCCTCTAGTGAGATGCAGGGGTTTGGTGTTGGAAAATGCAAGAAGACTAACTTGGCATAGTTTGTGAACGTACATCAATGAAACAATTCAGTACCTGTTGCTTTTAAGTTAGTTGGCCCCAGCTAAAGAGTAATAAATACTAGACGTTTACTACATTAAAGGTATTGCTACAGTAGCATTCCATAGCAGGAAATCACATCTTCGTCAAACTTGGACCAAAAAAACCTCAAACACAACTTAAAACTGCATTGCCAAATTAGGCATTCTCCCAAAATATTCTTGCCTCTCAGGAAATTCAAGATGTCTTTTCCTGTTTTGGTGTAAAGTATGCATGTGGCTGAACTGTAGAATCAAATGTCCTTTTTTGCTTGGATGAGAACAGATGTTTCCCACAGTATTCTGAATCACAAGATGATTTCCTGGTTCCGTCTCCTCTTGGGATAACCTCTCAACACCCTTTGTGGATTGGTTCAGCTAGTACTAAAAAAAAGTGTAACACAGCATGGCAGGCTCCAAAACATTTAACATTTTTACTAAAGTAATTGAACACCTGCTAAGAGACCTTAAAATAGGAATACCAGAGATTGGCTGAAGGGAATTCCAGGTTTTGCCTGATCTAGAGCTTTTGTTTGTTGCAGATGAGGATGATTCCAGGCATATTCAAGTACTAAGCCTTTCTTTAGTCGCACATGTTCCCTTGCCCATTGGTTGTGACGCTGCAAGGCCTCTGCTGCAGCAGAACACTTGGGCAGGTGCCTGTGCCACATTGTCTTGTTGACCGGCAGAGTGAGGGACATCACGCAGTAGAATCCTGCACTGCTGTCAGAAATTAGATCAAAGAGCAAGGAGATATTCCTCATCTCAGCTGTTCACAGTTTACAGGTATCGCTCATGCTGACTGTATCATTACATGAATAGACTTTGTACCTCAGTAGCTCAGCTTCTACCTGGTTATAGCTAGCAGAAGTTTACAAGTTAGAGGAATTTGTGTTATTTACTGAAGTATACTTGTTGTAAGTGGCAAGAATACTAAAAATTTATAGCAAATAACTTGGAAGTTATTGAAAGTTCTTAACTAAGCAAGGAGGGAACTTTAACAAAGTAGGTTTTTATTTTCATGTTAATTTTGGTGGAGATAACAGGAATATGGGATCTCATTTGCCAGAACTGAAAGAGTCCAGATGGAAAATACCCTAAGCCAGAACAACATGCATATGGGTTCTCTTCAGATAGTTGAGAGCAAAGCTTATAAACAGTGCATGGAAAATGAAAATGATACAGCAAAGAATTTCGAGTTCTTAATCTTCTTAGCCTGACTGATTTTTAAAAATACTTCTTTCTTTCCTCTTGCTTTTCCTTTTCTTTCCCACTTTCTTCCACCTGTATTTTTATTTCTGCTTTCTAAAAGGGAAAAATAAACACCTGTGCAACCTTTTTTCATTAGTCGCTGACATTAAAGAACAAAATTCAGCGTGTTTATTAGACCAGCTTAATTTTTATGCCACTTCATTTTGCTCACCTACGATTACTAGTGTTTACTGCAGAAGTTCAGCTAAATTCCCAACTTTGACTAGGCAGCATCAATTCAGTATTCTTTTCCTAGTTCATATAACCAATGCAAAGCCATCAAAAATGGCTACAAACTAACAAACAAAATTAAAATGGACATGCAGCAACCAAACAGTATTTTGAATCAAGTGAAAATAGTGGCTCACATCCAGTTGAATCAAATTAAGAATTTTAGCAAAAGGTTTTGAACCAGTTTGGCTAAATTCTGTTTAATGTTTTACCTGATATTAAAGACACAATCTTGACTTTGGATGAGGCCTCAGGTGGTCCAATGACAGTAAAACTTATATACAATATCTCCAAAGTTCTGCTGTAAATGATGCATAACATTCCTTGTATTTCTGAATAGTCAAACCAAAACATAATACAGACACCTGTGATTTATTTTTAATGTAAAATATATAGACTTCTACTTTCATATGTCATTAAAGAGATATTCTATATATTTTTTTCCATTCCTGATTTGCCAGAACAAAGGTTAGGGCTTTTGATTTAGACTCAGTTAAAGGGGTTAAATTAAAAAAGCTTCATGCTAAAGCATAACTGGCCAGACAGCAGTTATCTACCCAATTACTGTCTACCCAGTTACACCTTAGGGGGCTTTATACCCAGTTATGCTTTATAGGGGCCTCACTGTGCAGATTATCTCTGCCTTTAGTACAGCAAATCTCAAGCACATGCCCTTGTTTGGTCTCAACCAGAAAGCAGCATCCTTGTCAGGTCTTCAATAATTCTAATAAATGAAATTATCTTGTCTCACTTTCAGTGGGATTTGTTTTTTTGGTGATTGCTTTTCTAGTTCTTAGAAAGAATTACACATTCAGAAGTCCAGGAAAGAGAATAATCCTTTTCACTATCCCAATCCATTAGCAGGTATTTTCCCAAATTTTGCCCTAACCTGAGATATTTTTGTTAGTTTGATTCATAAAAATAATATTTAAAGTTTTGTAGTTGTCTTAATCATATCCATCCCAGAATTCTCTTCTCCAGTTCCTCTCTATATGTACACTGTGCTTTGGTCTTTCCAACAAGCCTCCTTGTCTCCCTAGACTCTGTTATGTGGAACTTTTTGTTTCACTGGGAAAGTTCCTGTCATTTCAGAACTTTAACTGCATATTTAAAGATAGCACTGAATCTATGCAGTCTGAACTCAGTGTTCAGTAAATGAGAGTCTTTTGCGCTTCATCTTTATTCTGGCTTTCTCACCTCACTCTTAGTTATGAGGGTTAGATTAGGAAGGGTTAGGAGGGTTAGGAAAAAAAGTCTTATTTAGACTTATAGGTATTTTGCTTTGTCTACTCTTTGGTCTCTTCTCTGGTTCTTTCCCTCTAACATCTGTGTTCTCTGCATTTTTCCCAGGTAACTGACAGAGGTTTTCTAATCTAATCAGCCAGCTCCTACTCATAGTTTAACATTCTGTAATGTTCAACTTCAGCAACTATCACTAAGTAATATCCCAGGATTTAGTACCACATTGAGTGCTGCAGAAACAAAAAAACAACTCTGCGTTTTTATAGCTATACTGCATTGAGAGTTATCATGGGGCAGAATAAATGCTTGAGCTTTGTGTTTGTAGTATCAGAGGAATTGTTTATTACTAGGCTGTCTCTGGAGAATGGCACTTTCCTTAACACTTAACAGGCATAGAAGAGCTTTTTCTGTGGTAGCTGCAAATGTTGGGATCTGCATTTTCCAGCTGAAAGTCATGCAGATATAAACAAGACACAGACCATAAAATTTTAGAATCACAGAATGTTTTGGGTCAGAAGGGACCTTTCAACATCTCAGTCTGTTATGTACCGTCTTGGCAGTCCAATGCCAAGGGCAGGGACGTCTTTCACTAGGTCAAGGTGCTCAAAGCCCTGTTCAGCCTGACACTAAGCACTTCCATGAATGGGGCATCCAAAATGTACTGTTATCCAAGACCTATTTCAAACCTATTTGTTTTCCTAAATTCTATTCAGATTTTCTTGCATTTAAGAGCTACATATTGTTGGGAATATTTCTGTACATTAAGTTCAATACTGAAGTGGTTAAAAAAATCAGTATTTTCTCAGGTTTAAGAGAAGTTCCTTCAAAGCTGCAGTATAACAAGAATACAGATCTGTACTTTGCTGTATTTTTTCCTATTACATATAACTGAAATTGGAAATCTGATTCACCACCTGGAAGAAAAGATTTGCTTGTTAATAATTTACTCAGTACTACTATTCACCACAGTGAATAGCCACCTTAACCACTACAGTGGCTAAGGAAAATTGCCTTCCCTCCCTGTTTTCAGTCTGTGTTACCATTGTCTAGATAGTATCTAAAGCAAAATCCAAAAAATTTCCATGAGGAATTGGCACTGTAACAAAATCTAGTAAAGCAGTATAGAATTATTTTAAATTATTTTATTACTATTTATATTCATTGCTTAAAGTGTACTGAGCAGACTGACAGAGTGGGAATTTTCTGATACTTCAAAAAGTACTTTTACTTGTAGTTAGTAAAGACATGAACTTTGTTAACAGCTATTTTTACTTGAATTCATCAGAAGTAACTTCTGCTTCCTCTTGACTGGATAACAACACCAATACTATTATCTAAAATGAAATTATCAGCAGATAAATAACTAAAAGTTACAACTTCTCTGAGTGCCTGTCATAGGTAGGCAACATGGTTTTACTGCATGAACATGGTAGAAAGTTATCAGCACCTCACATTTTGCCCTTTCTATTAAAAAAGTTCACCATCTACAGGAACATAGGAGGTACTTGCCATTAATCTCATCTGAAAAGGTGCTGCTAATACAAGGCTCACCATTCTAACTTGTCATGTATCCTAGTAGGCAGTCTAAAACCAACTGAACCATGACAAATATGAAAATATTCATATATTGAAAAACAATCAGCAACTATACTAGTACAACACAAAAAAGACATTGAACAGATTTGACTGCAATATACAAATGGATTTTATTATTTCTAAAGCCCAGTAACAAATTTTGGTTTTATTGCATTGTAGAGCAACATGTTTCATAATGTATTAAAAAGAAAAATAACTAGATGTGGAGTACCTCTTATAAAACTTGCAAATATATGCATTGGAAAAAAGTTGGAAGTTTACAGGGACGTTCTCCCTTCTTCCCACTGCTACAATTTGCCAAGGATAAGTGTTTGCCCACATAGATACATATCCTAAACTACATGCTTCTGTGTATACTAGACACAGAATAGTCTTTCCCATCCTCTTTTATTATCCAGTCTCTGGAATCTTCCTGTTCACAGTTTGATGGTGTACTTTATAGTAATGAATGTGCAGGCTCATTATTTTGCCTAGAGGGAAAGGGCCGAGCCCTAATTCACTCTGGAAGTAGAGGTGTGAGATCAGCATCTCTCTGTAGGAAGGCACGGCACTGAGTGGAAAGAAACAGAAGCATCCATTGGGAGGAAGAGCCAGTCTTGCTGAGCCTTAAAAAGAAACACCAACAGGCCAAGAAGGCTATATTGGGTATGTGAGGTACTGTGGTGGCATTGAGAGGTATGAGACAACTGAAACAGTGATGAAACGGAACCTTCTTTTCTCCTCCACATGAATAGCTTTGTTGTACATCTGGATTCTGGCAAGAAGGACATGAAACAATTAAAAACTTATACTAACGGTTGTTGTTGTTGTTTTGTTCAGTTGGTTGGGGTTTTTTTATGTCAAAGCACAGCGTCGTAAGAGAGACCACTTCTTTTTCCCCTTCAAATGTGTAAATGCTCTTTCAGCTTTAGTATGTAAGTAGCTAAAATAAGTTAGTAACTGGAAGTGTGGCATTTTTCATTCACAACCTCCCAGAAACTTTTAAGAAATCAAATGCATGGCATATAGCAAAGTGGTTAGCAACAATAGATTTCAGAGGCTTTCAGAGAACAAAATTCCTTTGCCTTAACCATAACAGTTTGACATTGTAGATGCTGAAGTTGTTAGAATCTGGAGAAAGCAGAACAAGAATTTAAACCATTGGCACACCACTGCTACAGCTACAGCTATAAACAAATGTCTCTCACTTGAAACAGCGGTAGAGGTAGAATATATTCCTGAAGAACAGTCAATACAGTAAAAATATGATGTTTTACAGCTATCTGACATAGTTCTGTGTGTTCACCACTCTTCAAACAGTCTACTGACAATTGCATAAACATTATCAGATAATATGCTTACATTTACTGGATGGCAATAATTATTCAGATGACTCTCCAAGAAGGCCCTTCAATTTCTTCTTCAGCTCTCTACTGGTTTTCTTATAGAAAAATAAATCTTTTTCCAGTTGCTGGATTTTTACTTCATACCCTTTCAGGGTTTCTGCAATACCTTCACTATTTTGTTCTAGGAGAAATAAAATCAGTTTAAGCCTCTGTGTCAAAAATCAAGATGCCCAGCTAGGCAGAGTATCTTGATGGCATTTTGCTTGCAATGTGCATGTTTTAACTAATGTGAAATAAGATGAAAAAGGCTGTGCCAATCCCACCTTTTAGTTGTAATAGTATTTAGAAGATCAAGATCAACAGAACCAGTATCTTATGACTTTTCAAGATCAGCAAATTCAATATGAAAATACAACAACTCTGATACTGCTTTAAAAAAATAATCGGTTTTGCATTCATATGGACATCATGTGTCTATCCTTGACATCTGACATAGCAATAGAATTAGTGACAGCCAAAATATATCTCTGAACCTTATTCGTTTTTTCAGCTGGAATACAATACTTCTCTGTTAATGACCAAAGAAAATACTTGGTGTATAATCCCCACCCCCAAAAAAATACCTTTGAAATTATTCAGTATAAACTGTATTTTTTTCTCATGTTCTTGGCGCTGGTGAGTCAGCTGCCTGTCACACTGCAACTTGATGTGTTCAAGTGCAGATTCTAATTCACGCATCATGTTTTTCTGGTGTATGGACTTCATTTCCTGTTCTTCAATCTGCACTTGTAATTTTCGTTCAGACTCACGCAGGCCAACAATCTTAGAAAGAAACACACTTATTTTGATTTATCAAGAGGTTTTAAGAAAATCTTTTACCCTTCAGCCTAATAGATTAAAACATACAAAAGCTCTGGATCTCTACAAGTAATTAAGCTTATACTGGAAATAGACTTGCCACTGCTACAGGTTGACTCTTAAAACTATAATGCATACATTTTGATCACATGGACTAGTGGAGCTTTTTAACATCCTATGCAAAATTTAAACTGAAAGAATATTGCTTTCCAGACTTCCAACTTGCATCCCACAGACAACTTTTTTACAAAATTACCAAAGGTTTACCCAAGGTCACAAAGACACCATATCATAATGCATTTAATATTTATGCTTCCAGATGTCAGTATGATTCCTAAGCACATAGCTGCACACACTGCAAAGTATCAGTTTACACTGGTGTAGTGGTTTGATATGCCTAAAAGCTGGGCACTCACAAAAAACTGTTCACTCATTTTCCCCTGCTACAGTTTAGCAGAGGAGGAGGAAAGAAAAACTAAAGGGCTTATGAGTTGAGATAAGGACCAGGAGAAAACACTTGAAGGGCAAAACAGGCTCAGATTTAAATGGTATAATGAAAACTGTATTAACAGAATTAAAAGAGGATAATGAGAACTAAAATAAAAGTTTTAGTACACTGTTTTTCTACCCCTCCAGCCCCTCCTTTCTTCCCACTGACAGCACAGAGAGACAGGGTGTGAGAGTTCTGCTCAGTTTTTTCACTTGAAATCTTTTTTCAGTTCACTTAGGGAGAAGATTTTCTTTTACTATGCTGTAGGGTCCTTCCCACAGGAGACAATTCTCTGTGAACTTTTCTAGTGTGGTTCTAATTTTCATGAGTATCAGTCCCACCTGACCTGCTGTAACACGAGTCCCTCCCATGGTTAATGCAGCCTTCCCAAAACTGCATGGTGTGGGTCATTTTAGTTCATGGGGTATAGTCTTTTAAGGATAAACTGTTCTAGCTTGAAAGCAAGGGCTCTCTTTCTCTATCCTCTCTCTCTGTTCAAGTTTCCAACTAAATTACAGCTTTTCAGCATCTACTTACTCCAGCATGAGCACTTTTTCTCATGGGTTGTGAGTAGATCTCTGCATCCCCCTATGCACTTCATGGAATACTGTGAAAGTTTGTTGTATTATAGTCCTCACCACAGCTTGTAGAAAAATCTCAGCTCTGATGTTTGGAGCACCTCCTCTTCCTGGAGGAGGTTTTCCACTGACCTTAGTGTCACCATGTTGTTCTCCTCATGTGTCTTCACCTCCTTTTATCTGACTCAGAAGAAAATTGTTGTCTGCAGGTTTGTTTGGTCACAAGTTCTACCCATTGAAAAGTTCTTATGGGATTTTGCAGTGCTAAAAGGCTGATATCATCTTGGCTCAGTATTGGGGAAGTGCTCGCCATGCCCCTCACTGTTGGCCACATGGGCAATGCCAGCCACTGTGGTGCTGGCACCATTCAGCTCCTCTCTTGATGTGGGGTGCCAGCAAGGAGACGCCACTACCACTGTCCCTGCCTTTCTGCCCACAGCACAGCTGGCTGAAAGCGGCCAAGCAGGCACAGTTCCCTGTGGACTGTGCCAAGACAGCTGTGGCTGTGTGGGAAAGAGAAGCTGCTGCTGCTCCCCCTGCCTTTCTGTTGGTGGCACAGCAGGGTAGAAGTGGCCAGGCAGGCACAGCTCACCACTGGCCAAACTGAGGTGGCAGCGGCCACACGGCCCCAGCAGCCACATGGCCACCCCGGCGCCTCCCCCAGCCCTCAGAAAAGAAGAACTGCGTGCAATTTTTTTTCCTTCTTAAATATGTCATCACAGAGGCATCACCAACTTCTCTAATTGGGCCAGCAACATGTCCATTGTCAGAGCCTTCAGAGACTGGCTCTGCTGAACATAGCAGAAGCTTTGAGCAGCTTTCTGTCCCAGAAGCTGCTTCTGTGGCTTCCTCTGCCCCCTCTAAAAGCCAGGCTGTGTTAAGCCAACACAACCAGACTTAGGAAAAACACAATAAGAATAGCAGCCTGAGCTTTATGAAGCTTTCTGAAATTCTGCATTCAGGAAGAATTTGAATACAAGACCATTATTTAAACACGTTGTTTCTCCTTAAGTTAGCAACAGAGAGCACTGGAAAAAGGCAAGGTAATTTCCAGATTTGTAGCACGTTTCTAGCTAATCTATTAAAACAAGATGTACAGTTAACCCACAAGTATCCTATTTAAGCTAACATAAAAATTAAAAACAATTTAATCGCAGATCTATGTAACCTGAAAATATATTAACCAAAAGCCTCTTAAATTTATTTTTATTTCCTGCCACCATCTCAATATCTAGAATAGTAATAGAAAGTGGGATAAAATAGTATTGATTAGCCAAAACAAACCTTGTTGAAATAACTGATGATGATAGCTCTGAGTTCAGCAGCAGACAGGGAAACTAGTTTCCCTATTACATTATGCTTGCTCTGTGAAAGATTCTGAGAAGATGACCAAAGTAAGTGCTGGCGATTATGAATACTTTCATTCTTGTAATCAATTGCAGCTACAAGGGCTTCAATTCCTTCTTCTAGCTGGAAAAGAATATGTTCTTCCTACAGAGGAACACATGAGTGAGATCTTTACTAAAAGAAAGCTCAGAATTAATCTTTCAAGACATCTTTAACTTCATTCTCAAGAGCGAACCTAAACTTTATGGTAAGATGAACTAGTTGTAGCACAGACAGCCGAGGGGAAAACAAGATGTAGAGTGCAAATCTAGAACTTTTGTCTTTTCCTGTCACAACACAGAGGTTGATGAATTGGCTCATCACAAAACTAGAAGTCACGTTTCTCTTTTTATCCTTCTCTCATCCTCACCACAGTTTGACTTCTGCTATTTTATTTTTTTTAATTACTAATTTTCTGTTAGATTAATGAATTAATCAGTCAATCAGTAAAGAGTTTGGTGACCATGATTGGTGTATGGAAGTGGCAGAAACGCCTGGCCTGAAGCACAGTAGACTTTGATGAGTAAGACAAGTATGGATCCTTCCAGCACAATATCACTCAGCCATAGTCTCATATGGCTTCTCAAGACCTAAAAGTAATCAGTTCATTTTATATGAATTTATTTTATGTTCAACATAATGATACTGATCAACTCCAAGTAATGGGCCATCCAGGTAATATGACTTATTTTCACTGTAGGACTATGTAGTTCTTCAGGTGAAGTTTGCTTTTTTCACAAGATTCTATGAAAAAAATCAAGGGGCGTGACTATGTGAATACCTCGCTTGTTCTGTATCCTGACATTAAAATACCTCCCTGTGATAAACTGATTAAGTTCTGTTTCCCTTACTTCTCATTATATGACTCTTAGACCAATAGAGTTTGGCAAGACACAATCTGACCTACGTTCCTCTGATCTTAAACTTCATTCACCATTACATAATTGGTGCTATCATAGCACCTCTACTAAAATTGCTATTTACAAAAGTATCCAACTTCTGCTCCTTATTTCTAGCTTACCTGATATCTGGAGACATTTTAGGTTCTGACTGGAATTCTAAATACAATACCTAAAACCTGTATTTATCTCAGAGGTGCTTACTTACTTCAGTTGACAACACTTTACCATCTTTCAGTTTCTCATCCATACTATTTCTCCTTCTGAGCAGCTGATCCCTTTCCATTTGGAGAGCCTGAATTTTTTCCAAAATGTCTGACTTGTCAGTGGTGCTGCCCTGAAGCTGCATACTTTTATCACACAGCTCCTGATCCAGAATACTTAAGCGGGTAGACAATTTCATGCTATCTTTGTTCAAAGCCTAAAAAAAACCACAACAACCACAGATATAAAAATGAGATATTCCTTTCCAGTAAGAAAAAAGTAAATGACACTGTCACATTCTGACTCGAAAAAATTGCTTGTTTCTTGTAATGGGAGCTCATTTACTTTGAGTGGACAATTATCATTTAAAAAAAAAAGTTCAACATGTAGTTTTTTACATAATAAAAATTAAAGGCACTAGTCTTTATATGTGACAATGATACTTTGCATTCACTCTTTCTGCTGAAAAGTAAATATTGCAAGACATTTCTCTGCTGTTTTCTCTAGAAAACAGAAAGATTTGGTCATATTAATAAATAATAGATTAAAAAATCCTATAATATAATTTAATATATTCAATACTAAATTATATTAAATATATTAATATTATTAATAATAATAATATTAATAATATTAAAAGTAACATTAAATTATATTAATTATATTAAATATATTAATATTATTAATAATAATAATATTAATAATATTAAAAGTAACATTAAATTATATTAATTATATTAAATATATTAATATTATTAATAATAATAATATTAATAATATTAAAAGTAACATTAAATTATATTAATTATATTAAATATATTATGTTATCTTCAATAACAATTCCACAGTTCAGAATTGTTTGGTTTTGGGGTTTGTTTCATTGTTGCAATTTTGGGGGAAAAAAGTGAATTAAAATGATTGTCTGTGTTAATTACAAATTAAATGTCAATTGGTCAAGCTACATAATACCTGCATCACAGTGGTATAGACACAGGAGGTCCCTTGAGCCTGCTCTGCTACCTTATCTGCCCTCCCCCACCACCAATCTTTGAGTTAGCCTTATAACTGTGCTGAGTTTTGAATCACCTGGCTAGATCTCAGTTTCTTGATTTCCAGGTAGCTTTTCTCTTGCATATATGCTTCTTTTTTCGCTACAATGGCTTCTCTTTTCTTTAAATCTTCTTCTAGTTCTGCTAACTGTTGGTGCTGTTGAAGAATTCTTTCCATTTCTTCATCCAGCCACTTCTTCTGCTCTTCTAATTTCTAAAGTTTCAAGAGAGATCCAGAGAGTATTAACCAGGATATTTTGACTCAGAATGTTATGTTTATGCTGTATCTTTCTTCAGAATTACTGATAAAACTGTATTAGACATTAACATTTCTAATGCCAATATTAATTCTGCCACAGAATCCTTACTCAGAATAATACAGAAACTGGACTGATTTAAAAGAGGCCTCAGCAATATTATGTTGCTACATCTCATATAAACAAGCTTGTGTCAGATGCTGTATCTTTTCTAAAGAATATATTTTCTAAACTATTTACATAAATAGATGTCATCTACCCAAGCACAGCAACTAGGTTTAGATGGTACCATGAAAATCCAGCTAGCCCATCCTCATTGCATTTTAATGGCCCAAAACCAGCTTTTTGTTGACCTGCAAGCACGGTCCATTATAAATTTATTCTGAAGCCAGAGTTTATCAGAGGATATATTCCTGTTAAGGCATAAAAAGTTTCTTTTATTTAACTTTTAAAATTTCTTTTCACCTTTAAAGACTTAGGGTAATTCATATTTCAGTGTCCACATCTGAAATAATGTAGGTGGCACTGCTACATAGGATACATACTTTTCTAACCCTGTTATCAACAATCAAAACCAGAAACCACTGTAATTTATGTCAGAGTAGAATCCAAACAAAATAAGACACCTGAACAATGCGCAGAACAATTAAAACCCAACACATCAAGGTCACCCTCAAAACTGCTGGATAACCAAATCTCCTGAATTCACAGGTTTCTGAATCAGTATTTTTGACAAATTATAGGGGGAAAAAAAAGAGAAGACACTAAAGGCACTCCTTTCTTTCATTCAAAAAGAGTACAGTACAAGAGCCACTAGGCTCTACTCCCAGTTTTTGCTAGAGAGAAAAAAAAAAAAAGACAAAACTATGATGGAATACTCTTCATACAAATGGTTTACAAAAACAGATGACTAGAGATGAAGAAAGATTTTTTATTTCAGGGGTCACACATATTTGGAATAGATTAACTACCTGTAGTTTCTGTGGAGCTCCCACTGAGTTTTTTTTCTTCTTTTTAAAAGCAGCAATTTCTTTATCCTTAATTTTGAGGATCATCTGTTGTTGCTCCATCTTAAGCTGAAGTTCCTTTGAACGAACAAAAAGCACCATTCTTCCCACATCAGTCAGTCAAATACATTTCATGTGACAGTCCCCCCAAGATATAATCTGAAATACTGACTCTAAATTTATTTATAAAATTGCAATTCAGAACTAGACACCAGGTAATAAAATGAGGGAAAAAAAACTGAAAGAGAAAGGCAAAACGGAGATTAATGTGAATTGTTTGTAGACAATTTCTTTGGTGCATTTATCAAGAAATTCATTAAGGCATTATTGAATATAAGGGAAAGCCTGATAGTAAAGTTTATTGGGGAAGCAGGGGCAAAAATTATTCATCCTAATCTTTGTCATAGGGAAACAGGAAGAATCCTACTTTAATTTGTTGCTGGTCCTGCTGAAGCTCTGCTTCCAGTTGCTTTTTCTTTTCACTCTCCTCACACAGTCTCTTTTGCATCTGGGATTGCTGATGCTTCATCTGAGCCACTTTCTGCTCAAGGTCTCTTGCTTCTCTCTCACTTTGGTTAGATAATGAAGCCAAATTCTTGGTATCTTGCTGCTTCTTCTGTAAGGTCTGAATGTTCATGTCAAAATTTCAGCTTAAGAGCAGGAAAACTTGTAACTAAAATACAACTCAGCTTCATTCTTTATTTCACTGAATTCTTGGGGTAACCAAGATTTAGTAACTTCTGCCCAAACAATCACTTGTTATTACTGTAGTTTTGAGCTATCTGGTGGAGTTGACACAGGCTGAATTAAACATGAAAAGCTACAGTTTATGCTTGGCAATACAGTAAAAGTACTAAAATCTAGCAGACACCACAGTTCTGGAAAATTTGCAGAGATACAATGGTATCAGAATGCTGGTGCCAGAATGGTGGTGGGTCAGAATGCTGGTCCTGAGCTCAAGTCAATAAGCAAACTCCCTCTTTCTGTATGGAAATTTCTGACCTGTCATTCTAGGATTGAGAGGCACAGAGCACCTAAGCTGATCCTATATAGAATACTAACTTAGATATAACAGAACTTAAAAGCAGAAGGTCAGTGTCAAACAAATATGCCTGCGTGGGCCTGATCTTGCAAGGCATCACAGGAATCTGCTCAGACCTACAATTTATATAGTATTTCCATAAAACATTGATTTTATTTAAGGCAAGTAATAGATTTGTAATACCCTCTCTTGGATAAATTCCTCTATTGGACTATATACAATGATGTATGGAAATCTCATATCTCTCAATACTTTCTTAGTGTCATACATACCAAGAAGGTATTTCATGTTTCTAACCAAGTAGGTGTTAACCAGCATTTTGAGTGTAATAGTATTAAGTTTCTCACTAGCTACTTCAATCTGCCCAGCTTCCAGCATGTAAAACAGGTAAAAATTTTACAAACAGAGTGTTAAGGTTCACACAGTGAGACAGAGATTTGAAAATCATAATAATCAGATCAGAAATACCTGCAGTTTCAACTTAGCTGCCTCCATCTTCTTCTGGCACTCTTTCAGTAACATGACTTTCTCAGGAGTATCTCTCAGCTCTTTACTGTCCAGCTCCTGAAGCTGCGTTTGTGCTTCAGCCAGTTCTCTTTTGGCCTGCTCAATTTCTTGCTCCAGTATACTTATCTTCAAAGAATACTGCCTGCTTACAGACTGAGCATCCTTACCTTAAAGACAGCATATACAAATAGTTTAAAACCAACATGATAATCAGTTGAAATGTAATACTTCTGGAGTGGAAATATTACTTACTTTGTTCTGGCTAAGTGAGTAATTTCTTATACATTTTCCAACACTAAAGGAACCTGCAGTTCCTTTCTAACTCTGAAATGGAGATAAAGAGAGTCCTAAATCTGAACATTTAATGAGTCACATCATGCCACCAAATAAAGTGCCATCTGAGTCCCAGAGTTAAATTCTTATGCCTACTGTAGATTTTGGCAAAATGGGTATCCTGTATTTCATAATTTTGTTTGGTTTTTTTTCTCCCAGAAGAATAGGCCATAAATCTTTTACTCAGCTTTCAGCTTAATAATTAGTATATGATCTTGGATTGTGTTTCTACTCTGTGACTTGTCCCATTTGGGCAATCTGGGGTGGCACAGAACCTTTCTCAGACCACCTCAAGAGAAGGTAAACAAAAGAGAAGAGTGTGATTGAAGGGGCTGAGGAAAGAGATCCTTCCTGTTATCACAAGGCTAGTTTCTCTATCAGGACAGATGTGTAAGGGATGTATGCTACCGGGACACTGATTTTTTTCCTTTTCCACTTCTGACTCCCATTTCTCTACTGTTATAGAACATAGAAGATACAATGATGTATCTTTTCTCCAGTCCCAGATACTATGTCACAAATACGCATCTACAAAGAGATAGCACTGACCATACATTAAAAATTACATTACTGTTGGATAAAAGTGATAATCAACAAAGCACAAAAAATATTTAACAATCAATCTTCATAGCAGAGTAGGCTGTAATCAAAATTTTCAGTGATTACAGCAAGTAATTAGCAAAATCTATGGATTTTTAGGTTGTTAAAAGTATCTTTAAGATAATTATATAAAAACTAAGACATACAGGACTTTAGGTTTTCAGTTTCTCTTCCTTTGTTTCAGAACAGTACCCAGTATTCCTACAGTGGACAGTTACCTGTTCTCACTAACTCCTTAATAAGTTCCTCTTTCCTTTTGATATTAAGTGCAAGTTCTCTTATTTTTTGCTCAGCCTTAGCAAGTCTCAACTCTGAATTCTTTAACTTCTGCATGTTAAAAACATGGATTTTCTGGAGGCTGTCAATCTCTTCACCTTGAAAAAAACAAAGCAAAATAGAGTTATAAAATCTGGAATAGATGCTGTATTCAAAAGGTAGTGCTCTGCAATATTGACTGTGTTCAGTTCTTCCATATGAAGTACAAGAATCAAAAGGAGAGAAGAGAGCAGGGTATTCTACCCTACCATGTGTGTAAACAGGAAAAAAAAAGGATGCTATGCACTTGCATTTCAAGGCCCTAAGTCTGGAAAATATTCCAAAAACCACTTCAGTATTTTTGGTGAGATAATAGCATCCATTTCTTTCATTGAAGCAGTCCTAAAGATTTATATGTGACTAGCTTTTTGATAAGTGAACTCCTTTCTGGCTAGTAGGTATTACTTAGAGGTTACTAACATCAGTTTCAGAATGGGAAAGAAAAACAGAAATTGGAAAACCTACTTTGAATTATAACCAAAAAATATTTGTAAGAATTGCAGATATTTTTCTGGGAAAACTAATTACATGTGCTAAAGCCATTATTGCATATTCTGATACTGTAGTAAGATTTGCTCTAATGACTCCCATCATACCTGTAGTTGTGTCGGTTTGTAGTGCAGATTTATTGGACACACCAGACCTGTCTACTGGACATTTCATGTCACTTACATCAGGAAGGAAGCACAGAGAAGTATGATTTTGTGTCCATGTTCGGTTTATGGAACACCTGTGACAGAACAATAAACATGCTACTCTGCAAATGCACAGCGATTTTTTTCTTTAAGCATCATGCAAAGTAGATGATCTTAACAGAGAAGAAGCTCAGACTTACAAAAGCATTCTTACCTTCTTCCTCATCCATACCAGTCCCACACACACCATCACCCAATCTCCCGGTCTTCAAGGTAGATTCGGACCCACAAGCAAGGATTATGCAATCTTTGCTAAACCTACATATTTTAAACTTATTTTGCCCAGATGGTCCCACAGGTTCACTGTAAGTATTATGGAAGGATTAGGCACTACTACTACCTTTGCTATACATTTTTCTGTAACAAAAGTTAAAGAACAACAAAAAAATTACTGATATGAGGTTTTCTCTTCACTGCCTGTATTGTCTTCCTCTTCATCACTCTGATCAGAGAGGTGGCAGTGAAGGACTTCATCTTGATCTTCTAACTTGGTCAGTATAATCTGCCTGCGAATATGGAATTCTGCCATTATCTGGGCCAGAGACAAGATGGGGGGGCTGGTATACCCCTGTCAAAAAGCACACAAAAATAGTGAGTGATGGGTAAAAACACTTGCAATAGTTCAGCTATTCATTACTCATATTTTAAAAAATGTTTCACCACCTGAGCTTGTAAGCAATTACACAGGTTTTCTATAATAACTCTGAGTACCTTTATAACAAAACATTTTGCAAGAGCCTAGAGGAGTCGTTTCAAATGTGAAAGAGGTCACTGGTAGCAATTCATTATCCCATGTACTCAACGTATTGGTAAGAATAAAATTCATTTTTTATAATGTTTCATACTCGAACCCTCAAAACCCCTAGAAAACCAGCTGGGGGGTGAAAACATGACAGCCATAGCACTTGTGGGTGGAAACCTTAAGCCTAAACATTTTGGATAATTGTGGCATAAACAAATGCTACAAAACTAGTTTTTCAATGGGAAGTTAAACATCAGTATCTGAGGAAGACATTGTATATTATCATGTTGTGTCTAATGATTGGCCAATAATCATTACAAAGTAAAAGGGGGAAAATCTGGGTAGACCTTACCTTTTGGATCTCTGTCTCTGAAGGCAGGTTTTTTGTTACTGGGACACCGTAGCCCCTCTTAGCAAATGCCATGACAGCTGGCCCATCTTCATAAGCACTTGGGAAATCTAAAGCTTTCACATCTGTGAACTTCTCTAATTTCAATTTTAGCTGATCAATGACTATGTGCTGTTCCACCATTTTCTCAATCTCATGAGGAAAAAAAAATAAAGCAAAAACAAAACTGAGCACTGTACCATATTCTCAACTTCCTCACAAAGGTCATGAATCTTGTAAATCACCCACTGATCCTAAATTATTGTGCAAGGCACTGGCAAATTCTGCAGCAAACTGGGAATTCTATGACATATCATCAGTCTCAGAATCCCCTCCCACTCCCCAGTCCAATAAAGTTTAGACACATTTTTGTTCAGAAAGACCTACCTGAGTATCCTGGGTTGCAGAGAGAGTGCCAGTGTGGGGTGTAACCAAATTGAGTATTCTACGCCATTTCTGACAAATGATGTTAATGATGGGTTTGTAGTAGATGCCCAGTAGATGCCCAGCAGTTGCCCAGCTGACACCTCAGGCTACAAGCTGGGTGTTAAATGAGATAAGGGAGAAGAGCCAAACCCTCTGAGAAGGGGATGTGTTGCTTTTTCTTCACAAATTACTCTGCAGCGCTAACTCCTTCTGGGGGAACACCAGCACAGTCCCACCGATTACCCCCCCATCCTGAGGGGGTCACCTCTGCCAATGGCCCATAATGGCCCAACAGCGCCACCATAATGGACAGCTGTAACAACTTAGACCACCAAGGATTCGCACAGGATTACATCATTCCCAACTGTCCATCCTGGGAGAGGTGCTGAATACTCTCCCTTGAACCTGACCATACATAACTGGGAACTTGGAACCCTCATCACACCTGGACAGATCCAGACAAGGCCGAGAATTCCACAGGACCACCACTTTTGATTGCAACCATCACTTCAACAGGACTGCAATCACCACTTGATAGGACTGTGACCACCACCTTGGCCAACAGGATGGCAGGTTGTAATCTGACTTTGTGGGTCTCAGGCAGTTTTAATATGTATCATTACATTTATATTAACCTTTCTATTAAATTGTGACTCTGACCTGAAATCTCTCTCTCTCAGCACACCCAGTTTAGCTACTTAGCCTATCCAGGCATCTAGTGAGAAGTGAATGACATAATTAGGAGCTCATGCTTGCTTTATATGGAGAAATAAAATGAGAATTAAACAAATATTTTCAAATTAAACTTATGGTCTGAGTCTTATTAATTAAACATGTATATGGGCTTCCTCTTCCACTTTGTACAATTCCACTTTAAAGATTATTTGTATTAATAAACTAAACATGTACATGTTCCCAGGTTCACTTCCTACTTTTTCTTCCACCCAGCCTCAGGTATGTTGATAATGCTAGTTTGGAGACCTTAGCTGCTTCTCCTACAGCATTCTCCATACATTGTTCAAAAGTACTTAGTACTTAGATAACTTATGTTGTTATCTAAACCGATTTGTCCATAAGGCCAAAATTATATCCATTATCAACTCACTCTATCATTTTTGACTCTTTTTGAATATGGCCTAGCAATAACAGAGAAGTTGAAATATAGCTCACAATACATTCTACATTCTTCTACTTTGAGTAACACATTTTTATTAATTCTTTATGTTGTTGTCTTAGTTGAAGTTTGTGTCTTTCCAAACACAAACAATGCTTTACAAGTTGACATTGTGTTGGAATACAATACATATTATTCCTATGTCATAGAAAATCGAATATATGTATGAATATCATATTTGTTATCGTTTTGGAAGAAGTAACAGCCAACTGATCCACCCTGAAACTATTTATCCCTGATACAATTGCACATACAGCTCCCAGTGTAATAATGTAACCCATTTCATTAATACATATGTGTATAAACATTTATTACCTCCTACCTCATACCTGCTACTCATACCTGCTATTCTATCATGTACCATTAAATTACATATGCCTGTAAACACAATGTAAAATATTTGACAGAAGCACTTGCTTTGCATTATATGTTCTTAAACAGAAGTGGCAGTTTAGTGAATTAAATGCCAAAATGCTGCCTGAAAGCTCTCAGGCTTCCTTCCTGTCTCTGATACTGAAAGAACCTTCTATCTACACTGTAACAGCTACCTTGTATCCTCCAAAATTTAAATAAGCATTATCACACTACCAGTTGATACTACGGTGTGCAGGCTAAAAAAAGTTTAGCCAGAATGACAGAAAAGAAAGAAAGTGACAGAAGGAAGAAAAATATCATGACTGGTTTACTTACCTTTAATGCACTGACTCTCCCCAAGCCATCAGAATGGAAAAGGAAAAAGGAAAAAAAGTATGATAAGGAGAAGAGCACTAGCTATCCATGTTTACGCTTTTCTCTTTTAAAAATTCATATAATAAATTATCTGTAATCTGCATGTCTGGCAACACCAGCAGAATATTAACTATTCCAGGTGCACGTTATGCATGTACTAGCCACCATAATTTCATTAGCAAATTCAAGATCAACAGAAGGAAAGAGGCAAGTAGCCTTTTTGTCTTTACCTCACTTTCCATTGTGTCACTCAGTTTTCTCTAATGGTAAATGATCAGAATGTCAGGATGGAATTCTGTCTTATAAAGCCAAAAGGAGAGCCAATACTCTAATTCTTAATAAAGCTATTACAAAATAAGTTTCTATATAACTTTTCAATTCAAGCATTCTATAGGATCCATACAGTCTTTTCTCAATTCTAAAGCATCTTTCAAAGTCTTTCAAATCCTAATCTATTAATTGTCCTGGAACTCCTTAACAATGATCTGGGGAGAGGGTTGTGTGTTATGGTTCAGGAAGCATGGAGAGCATGAATGGTTCACTTCTAGTAATGCAGGAGGCTTCTGGCACAGCTAGGTTCATATACAGTCTCCAGAAATCATATTACTGTGATACATCCACTAGAAGAACCCAACTCATTCTGTGAAACAGCTCTAATTAAAACAAAATGTCCCCAGTATTGACTGGTAATAAGTAAAAAAAAAATCTGAGGGACTGTTGAATGCATTCACATGGTAGAAGGATGGTTCAATGCAAATAAATATGTACCAGTGGGAAAATACCTGTAGTCTTTGTGTTTCTTGAGCCTCCTTTAAAAGTTCCTGTTGTTCTTTCTTTTCTTGTAGTAATGTCTTTATCTGATTCTGCAGTATCTGCACTTCATGATTCTTCTGGCTAAATAGTTCTTCATCCATAACTAGTACCTGCTGCATAATAAAAGAAAAGTTCAGCTGGGCAAAAGGGACATTATTATTCCTACAGTAAAATAAAACCTCATTTGTTGTTAAGAGACATGACCAGCACTCCAAAGTCTTGAAGTATGTACAGCAAATTGTCTAAGTGGTTATCTGCAGTTTCTAGCAGCTATTTCTTCACTTCTGTTCCATCTATTGATTTTGTTCTAACAAGTTTCATTCTTCCCAAGGAGATAATGTACTCATAACCAAACCTAATTTATTGAAGTATATATTAAATTCAATTATTATCTTTAGTATGCTGTTATATGTAGTTACAAGATCACAGCATCTTGTGATTAATATACTTCTCTAATGAAAAAATAAGAACTGCTGTCCTCAATCTGCAGCTTGGATAACAGTTTAAACATTAAAGAAAACACAAGAATGCTTGTTCATATGTTCTTGTGAATGAACTTATACTGATGGATGGAGACTTCCAAATGTTATTAGTCTTCTAGAAAGCCTGCAGAAGCCAAAGACAAAGTACTGAAATATTACATCAACCCACAAACCTTCTCATTCCTGCTCTTCCTATTTTTTCTCCAAGAGTCCTGGTGGTGGACATATGAATGAGTTTGGGTGTTAGCTACAGCCAATTTGGTATTTTAATATCAGGTAAGACAGCATTATCCAAGCAACAATAGCTGCTAGCAAAGAAATGTGTATGTACAGACAAGAACAGGCCCTCTACTAGTTATTAAATCTGTCCATATGCAAACCCTGCTCTGGAGTCTGTAGTGTCTCATTTATTTTAGCCTTCCTCTAACCATGTCTTTCTGGCTGTGGATTGTTGGGAGTTTGGCTGGCTAAGAACTGGAGAAGTACAAAACTGTGGCTAATTCCAAGTCCTGCACCTGTGTTGATAGCGTGTCCTTGGGCCTGGCTGTAGTAAGATAACAAACAGTGAAAGAGACATGAGAAAAGAGAGATGTAACCCCTAAGGAATGAGGATGAGTTCATGGTATAGTTTAACTAATAGATTCCTTGGCTTACAGAATATTCATAAGCTTATTATTTGCTGTATAAGTGTTTGATACTTTCTTCAATAAACTGGACCGGACCGGACTGGACCGGACTGGGCCTGTGTTGAACCAGCTGGTGTCCTGGTCCCCTTCCTTCAACAGCGGATGGCATACTCCCTGGGGAAGAGAGTTCAAGCTAAGTTTAAGGTCAGCTCTTACACTGTTTTGATCCAGGGAAACAGAGGTTTAAAACTGGTCACAGAAGAAAAACAAGAAGGAAGAAAAAAAGCTGTGATTTAGACTGCTTGAGAACAACGAAAAGACAAAACTTGTTTATGCAATTGTCAGAAAACAATCTATAGCTTTATCAGTTTGGTTGCAAACTTAAAAACGGGTTGATGTTACAAAATTCTAACTTATTGGAGCACTGCCTCCTTCTACACGTGACCAAACTCAAATTAGTTTTTCTGAGCTATTCATCTGGCATCAGAACTTCACTCAGAATCCAACTGGTGTATAGTTCTTTTAAGTAATAAAATCTGTTATTAATTTTGATTTGAGATGATTTTCACTGTACAATAACCTGCATTTCTTTTCTTTTGATGTTCACAGTCAACATTTTAACTCAGCACATCCAGTATAAGTACTCCCTAAATGCATATAGGGATGTTTCCAAAAAGAATTATTTATTTGATCATGTGTCAGTTCTGTTAGGAGACATGCTGTCAGAAGGCTGAGAGCTCTTCTCCCCATGGGTCGTCTCTAGGACTATTATCTACTGTGAGAGAAACAGCTGATCAGCACTAGCGATATGACAGGATCCTCATGGGGTATCTGCTTGCTAAGATGTTTTGAAATTTTCACCTTTTTTGGAAAACCATAAAGAAGTATGATGTCACCAAAAAGCAAAAGTTGATGTTTAACACAAAAGCAAATGTTAGAAAAGATTAGACAAAGAAATCTGCAAATAGTTTAGAAACTCTGTTAGCTAAAGGCATAGTAATGGAAAAGGAAATATAGGAGGTTTTGTGAGAAATACAGTTCAGGAAATTGCTAAGAGATTAAACTGTAACTTTGTAATATTGGACAGACTAGCATATTATATACATAGCGTTAGATAATATTAGACAAAACTTGCAAAACTTGGTCCCTGGGTCATCAGTAAATTCACTGATAGCTTTGAAAATATCTGTATTGTAATTATATCTGTAATGCTTCTGACAAAGTAATATCTTCCTAAGATTCAAAACAATTTCTGGGTTCACAGGACAACTGCTGAGGATATGCACCTAAGTACACACTTCCCAGAGATAGGAAAGTTTTCTTTCTGTCTTTCTCTCTCTCTTTCTCTTCTTTCTCTCCCTAACTAAGAGGAAAACTAACTTACCTAAGTGAGTACACTCCCTCACTTCCAAGCCCCCAGTCCCAAGGAAGAGTAAAAGTAAGAAAACTTGTGGGTCAAGAAAGAAATTGTACAGTAAGTGAAGGTGAAGTGAAAGAACAGAGAAAATAACATAAAGGTGGTTAATTACTGCAAAACCAATCACTCTCTGCCTTGAAAGGGCAGATTTCCATTAGCTCCTGTGCAAAAAGACAGCTAGCATAACTAAATCCCCCTCCTTCCCCTTTCAGTTTCTGAGTATGTCAAATGATGTGAAATATCTCTTTGGTTGACTTGGGTCATCTGCCTGGCTCTGCTCCTCCTGTCCCTGGCACACCGGCCTATCTATTCACTGGTGTCACAGTCAGAGTCAGTCCCTTGATACTGTGCAAACACTCTGCAGCAAGACCTAAAACACTGGTCTTCTTTCAGAATCGTACTAGTCAGAAATGTAAAACATGGCATCCTGCAAGTATTTATGAAGAATATTAACTCCATCTTGGCCAGACTTAGTACAACCCCCACTTAATACTCCACACCATTTATGTCATGCTCAAGCCCCACACTATCCAGTGCAACCTTATTAACTATACTTTCTTCCCTTCTCATCCTTTGACTTATCTACAGATATCATTCCTTTAGTCTATAGACTAGTCCTGTAAAATACCCATAAAATGTCCACTGAGTTTATTTAGTCCATGATGTGGGTTCTGTCTGGCTACAGTGATCACTCAAGACAGGCACCCAGGTTATGCTACAAAAATATTTGTATGATCCTACAACAGGCCAGCACAGTCCTTCCATGGTGTCAGAGACTGAAATGTTATCACTCATGGCTTAAACATTGTCATAACAATTTTTTGCCTGTTATAGCAAAACTGTATGATGAAGCTGCACCACCAAAGCCCAGAGTGAATACGCCTCTTGACTGAAACTCTGTGAGTTAAACTGACTAAGGCTACTTGAGAGAAGAAAAGTGAAAAAAAAAAGAAAATTGGTTAAAGCATCTCAGGCCTGGGAAGTAATGGATAAGGCTAGGAGAGCAGTCACAGAAGAGCCAAGTCCAGTGGGTTCAGGGTGGAGGCCATGGCCCCAGGCTTATCTGTTGCCAGGTTTGCAGAAACCTGGCAACAGATAAGCCTGGATTCTTCCTATTCTCCATTAAAGGGTGGGGGAGGAGGGTTTTGGGTGCATGTGAAAACCTCTGGTCAGAGGCACTGAACATGCATCCTCTGCTGCGCAGATTAGCTCAGCTCTGGGGCCCCCTGCCCCAGAAAATCAAATCTATGAGACATTCCCATGAGCAGGAGCTAAGGGGGCATCAAGGTTCATCAAAGGCCCCCTGAAGTTCCCGTGACCCTGTGCCAGAGGACTGTTCACGATACAAAATGATGCAGCTGACCCAAAGTCTTTCAAGGGACAGTGTCAAACATGGCCCCCCTCAGGGGAGGCACCTGGGCATTCCCACTTGGCCCAAATGTATGCTAATTCATTGGATACTATGCTTTTGGCAGGCGACCCTCACCACCAAGAAGACCAGATGGAGAGGATCTATGAGACATCATGAAGACGTATGGAGGGGTGGTATGTTTTACTTAATCTTCCTTCCTTCCTTCCTTCCTTCCTTCCTTCCTTCCTTCCTTCCTTCCTTCCTTCCT